GTGATAAACTAAGCTGAGCATCAAATACACACAGTCGAAAGTTCACACTCGTGTATCATCAGCATGAGACCGCTCAGATCACTGACATCTGAGACCAGCCGCTGAGTCAACCAGTACTAAATTGCCATTATGTGCAGCTGCATTGATTATTTATTAAATGTAAATGCCTGGTGAAAATTAGAATCTTATTCCATCTAAAACACGAGGGAAATAAATTGTAAGGACAAGTTTTTATTGAATGTTTCACGCACGTAGAAAGTGGATTTCTTTATGCAGACATCAGTTGAACATGAATGCACACGTCCTCTCGGTCTGAAACACTACATGGCCTCTCACCGTCTCCAAGCAGCCACATTCCACAGGTATGCTTTTGTCGTCATAGCAACAGCCCATACTCCCGCATTGCTTTTGCCCCTCGACTCGACTCCATTGAGTCTAACTGCAGAACTACACATTGTGTTAGTGTTCTGTCTGCTGCTCTGCCTTTTTTGTTTGTGTATGTAAAACGAGAAATACAGTGGTGCTTGACCCTTTTGTCCTCTTTCTCTTTCTTTATCTGTGGCCGAGGGCACGGGTTTCACTCGTTTGTAATGCGCTGTGTGCTGTCTGACCTTTAGCATGTAGAGTCCGCTCCGTTCCCCACGGTTAGGCTAATAGCTAAGCCATCAACCGAGCGTCGTCCACATTTGTGACAGAGGAAGGGTTGTTGAAGAAACGCAAGGGGAAAAAGCATTCCTCTTGTTTCATTTGTTTACGGTTTTCTGTTGTCAATATTAGCTACTTTTATTTGACTGGCTGCAAATGCAAATTCAACTCAACCAATGTGAAGAAGTCTGATTTGTTAAAGAGTAAATGTTTGATTTGTTCTGGCTGGATGGCGTCGTCTTCTATTTAAAGACTCAATGAAGTTACATTTGGTAGTTGTTAGTGTACTCCTAAAGGGCACATATTATGACACTCTTTACAAGATGTAATATAAGTCTCAGGTGTCCCCAGAATGTGTCTGTGAAGTTTCAGCTCAAAGTACTAGTGGTCAACCGATATTGTTTTTTTGACAGCTGATGCCGATATCTGGGAAAGCAGGGTGGCCGATATAATTGTATTTATTTTAATTAATATTTAAGAAATTTGAAATCATTTGAAACTGGATTAAAAATAAATTTGTAAAATAATCATACTTATACTTTAGATGACAAAGTATTTTTCACAAATAAATAAATATTTAATAAAAATATAATTAAAAAGGAAGTAAACTGTAACCAACAGAGCACTCAGTATTCTGGGAAGTTTGTGTGCATTGGAAATCATATTTTTTTCAAATAAAGCCAAGGTAACACTCATTTTACATACACCACACAGTGAAAATGACATGAATATGACAGTGGGCAAATGCATAAAGCGCAGCATAATTTGAAATCACGAGTTTAAAGTTTGTCGATCGCGCGTCTGAATGAAGCTTGAACTCTCCTCCTGTCCGCATTCAATTCGCACGGACCGACCATCATGCAGAGTACACGCGATCGTGCAGGATACAAATGCACACTTCATAAGCTCTCATAGCTGGATTCGACTAAGTTTGCAAGGTTTGTGAAATTAAATGTTCATTAGTCATTCAAAGATTTGTTTAAATGATATAAATGCATATTTGCTGAATGCTGACGGCAAACGAGAAAGTATTATAATGTTTGCCTTCTATTACTAATAATATAAAAGCAATCGTTATAATACTTTTTGTATACATTTTAATTCCTTTGTTTAACAGTTCTATTGGATTATTAGACAGACTTCTATCCGTGTTAGACAGAACTGTTAACTCAACAGCGAACAAGAGGGAGAATGTGAGCACTGTGTGCTCAGGCGCTGCAGTTCAGCGCCGTCAAAATAAAAGTCCCGCCTCGAACGTATCGGCCAAACAGAAAAACTTATCGACCGATATTTGAAAAATGCCAAATATCGGCCGATATATCGGCCTTTGGCGATATATCGGTCGACCACTACAAAGTACCCCACAGATTAGGGCTGCACGATTAATCGAATGCGATTGTCATGCGCATTTTGTTAGTAAAGCCGGTTCTGTAATCAGCAGGAAATCATTATCACATGCTTTCAGATAGAGCAGAATTTACTACACAGAGCCGTAGTTCATTACATCATTTTGAAAATGCCTATTTTGAGTGGAAGCAGAAACATGTTGTTTTAGCTCATGTCTCTTTAAATGCAAATGAGCTGCTGCTCCCCGCCCTCTTTTCCAGAATAGGGCTGTGCCTTTACAGCTCGTACCTCAGATACTCTGCTAAAAAACATCTGCTTGGTTTTGATTGTCACGCTGAAAACGTGTTTTAAAGCCATATCAGTTTAAACTTCTAACATACGGTTTCCTGAGCACACACATCTGAAGCGAACGCACAGAAAGCATCTGTCACACGGCATGTGAGTTCTCTTTCATGTTTTCTTGCGCTTAAACTGTCAAATACACACCAGTTTCTGTTAAAAACACTTGAGTTACAAAAACACAGTCTGTTATGTCTGTGATGGTAAACAGCTGGGAAAGAAATTGCATGTTTATATTAGAACTGTGTATTAAGTGACAGCAGCATAATATACAGTAGCTACTGCTGTGTAGGCTGTTAATATGACCCAAACAATAAAATAAAAACAGAAAATCACTCACTGCTCTGGACCAGTGGTGGAAAGAGTACTTAAAAAATATACTCAAGTAAAAGTACCATTACCTTCCAAAAAATGTAGTGCGAGTAGAGTAAAAGTACTTGTCCAAAAAAACTACTTGAGTAAGAATGCTAATGCGCCATTGTCCATCAACAGTCGTGGGAGGGGCCTAGGGCTGGGCGATAAATCGATAACGATAATTATTGCGATATAATTTTTCTCGATAAAACGTTATGAAGAGTTCGACAAATGTTCGATATAATGTTTATGCGCCAAAAGAGGAATGAAACAGCTCATTTTAAGCGCGCCACACAGAAACTAAGTATTGAATTTTGCATAATAGGTGCCCGTTAAATGTTGACTAAGCAAAATTTAGCAGATATTCTCATTGGAAATGTACAGTCTTTCTGTTCAGGGATTACAGAGCAAAATAATGGCTGCACACATTTTTTGTCCAATCAAATGCTTAATCAAACACTCTTTCTCACATCAAAGCATGTATTTCTCCCTGAAACTGACCAGGAAGTAATGCTTCATGTCTGCGATTAAAGGGGTCATATGATGCGATTTCAATTTTTCCTTTCTCTTCAAATGATCCAGTCAGAGTGAGTCTTTAGTTAACTACTCACTGATTCAAATGATCCGGTCAGAGCGAGTCTTTAGTTAACAACTCACTGATTCAAATGATCCGGTCAGAGCGAGTCTTTAGTTAACAACTCACTGATTCAAATGATCATCAATCAGTACTTTTTACCTTTAATAATTAAGTACATTAAAAATTAAAAGCTACTTGTACTTTTACTCAAGCTCTTGATTTGTATACTTCGTCCTCCACTGGCCACTAATGCACAGTTACAGGTTCAGTCCTAAAGCGGCCGTGACCCAGAAACTGGAGAGTCACTGGCAGCACAGTTCTGCTCGCTCACCGTTTTCCAGACTGCCCCCATTACACCCTCACTGTACTGAAATCTCAGATACAAACTGCTTGACGACATCCAGTAGCTTCTGTGTCCAGCAGCAGTGAAGAGTGCTGAGCTTTGAGCGTTTATTCATTCGCTCATCCTGAGAGGGAACAAAGCAGCCTGTTTAAACCACCCTGCCACGTACAAACAGCCAAACAATCAGCCGACAATGGCATCTTTATGTCCTCAGAGCACAGAGGCTTATTTTTTGCACTTCCGGACTCGATCCCTCTGGCGGGGTGAGCAGCGGGACTCTTCATACCTTCTGTGTCATGCATCGAATGAGAAGAACGGCTCAAAGCTCATACGCTGAAGAGTCATATTCTGCACTGTTGTAGCACTTCTCCATGAAGTCCACTTACAGTATAATGCTAGTCAGGGTTTCTTAAGTGCTGGTGTTTTTCTAGAGCAGTAACAGCAAAGGGAGTGATGTAATGGAGTATAAATGTAATATAATTACAGTGTTCACAGATGAGTGAATATGTGTGTTTCTCCTGCCTTGTATCAGGTAACATTTAGTCTGTGCTTTTGTTTTTCTTTATTATCGTTTTTAATGTAGATTCAATTTAACGTCTACCTTAAAATGATAAGAAAAATGGTATTGGTGCTTTACAGCATAGATACGTTCACTGTATTTCTTTGCATTGGACATTGTTTGGAGGACAACATTGGGCAGGGTGTGGAATAACATTGTAATAAATAATAGAATAAAATCATTTATATTTTTTATATTTAAACATTTTTAGATTTTAATCTAAATAAAAAATAAATACATCATTGTTAGTTGCATCCCTAGTGCAAACGAATTAAATATTATTAATATTTAATAATTTTCCTAATTATTTTTAATATTTAGTCTAAGCATTTTTAGATTTTAAATAAATAAATACATACATAAATGCATAATTGTTAGTTGCATCTCTAGTGTAAACCTTGCTTCACCAAAATTCAGAAATAGGGATAAAAAAAGAATGTACACAAATATGAAGCAAATAATTTGAGCCTGATGAGCCATGTAATATTTGTCTTGTAAGAAACATTATAATATAGATCTTTAAAAAACATTTGCAATCTTGGTGTTCAGTGTTTAGAAATGGCCCTGAGCTCTAGGTGATGAATATCAGTCAACAGAAATGATCATTACAATCATGAAGTTTCCATCATTAAAAATACATTTCCTCCAGACTATAACCAGACGCTGATGATTCATTGAGTCCAGTGCAAACGGAGAAGTGCTGGTGTTAGAGTGGCCTTCGGTGTCTGAGACAGCAGTGATGGTCTCAGTGACTGCTGGAGTGTGATTAAAGCATCTGAATGTGATGTTGATTTGGTGTATTTCACACCTCTGTCTCTGTCTCTGTGTTCACGCAGCCGCAGAACCGGCCAGTACAATGTCCAGCGGGGCAAAGCGGCCGGTGCGGCTCTGGGCTCGAGCTCAGGGAAAGCACCGTACCAGCGCTGCAGCTCCCAGGACTCTCTGGACGAGCAGGCCATGGTGGACTACTTCAAAGAGGTGGAGATCATCCAGTGCAGCGGAGACGCAGAGACGCAGGAGGACCTGCAGCTGAAGGTGGCTGATGGTAAGAACCGCCCGTCGCTCTGCTTTAAAGTGCCCCTATTATGGGTAATGAAAGGTTCATATTTTGGTTTTGGGAGTCCCCAACAACAGGTTGACATGCATGCAAGGTCAAAAAACACTTTTATTGTCTTAAAATATGCATTTATTTTTACCTTGCTTGCTCAATGACTCCCAAACAATTCGATTAATTTTTCCAAACCCCTCCTTTGTGTGACACTAATCTGCGATATTTTGGTTTTGGGAGTCCCCAACAACAGGTTGACATGCATGCAAGGTCAAAAAACACTTTATTGTCTTAAAATATGCATTTATTTTTACCTTGCTTGCTCAACGACTCCCAAACAATTCGCTCAACGATTAATTTTTCCAAACCCCTCCTTTGTGTGACACTAATCTGCGGTCATTGGTCCGCGTCATGCCTGTAACGCCTGATAAAGCAGCGTTTGTGAGCGCAGTGCTGCTTTGTGTACAGCGTTACCGGGGAAACCGCTTTTTTTACTTGGGCTGGGAAAATAAATCGATGCATCGCGAATCGAGAAATGATTCGGCATCGATTCTGAGATTTTCCGAATGCATTGCGATTCTTTCTCGAGTCGATCCTGAGCTTAGTTTTGAACGGCAGATGGCGCTGCATGCTTTAGAAACAGCCGTACTCTGCTTGTTTCCAAATCCTTACACACACTCGAACCTAAAATAATCATTCATAAAATTCGAAAAGGTTGAAGCGAATCACAAGGGTGTTCACGGTGGGCTGTGTTTACATTAATCTGGTGTCAAAAAAGCATTCTGAGCCGAGGTGAAATTACAGACTC